GGTGCTGTCTTGCGCCGCAGCAGTGGGTGTGTAGCACCAGGACTGATCGCTGTGTTCCACGGGACATATCATGAAAATTCTCACATCTCAATGTCTTCAAGGGACCTCTGAAAACTACTCAGGTCACTTTGATGATGACAAAATATAGACCAAGAATAAAACCCCCACAAAGGACCTTCACCTCACCATGGGTTAGGATTTAAACGATTAGTATCTCCAAGTCATATGTCTTAGGAACACACGTGGCTGCATCTGTGTCAGCTGGCACGAACGGCTTTGTGGCTGAGAAACGTGTGTTCCCAGTGTACCCGAGTCGACACTCTCGTCTCTCCAAGACTTTTCTCTGGCAATTGCAAGTCAGGAGCTCGGCGAGTCTGGCTTCATCTTCATCGAAGAAAGAAAAGCCAATGGGTCCCCTAAGACTACTTAACGTTGACGTCTGTGGGACTCAGGACTTCCTGCGTCCCCAGCTAGTGCCCTATCTTACTGCTGGGGGCTCTCGGTGCGTCCTGGCCCTTTCCTTATTATCAAAGGCGGACGCAGAGCAGGGCAGGGGCCTCCAGAGCCCACACTTGCCACCAAGCTTCCTCTTCAAAAAGGCTGGTCTTGGTCTGTCTTTTCTAGTGTTCGAGTGAGGAGCGACGCCCCTCTGCCACTGATGGATTTGAGCTTATCCTGCTCAGTGCGTAGACAGAGCACAGGATGCAAATCAAAACTGAGCTTTGCTTTTCCTTTTTTTTGTGGTTCATTGGTGAATACAGATGGCACATGTGGCTCTGGAGACACAGCACCTGTGTGCGTGTGAGATTCGGGTGGTGTGTTCATGGTCTGTGCACAGGTGTGCACCTGGGACTCCTCTCTCTGTCCCGGGCAAGGTCTCTGTGGGCCTGTCCCCAGTGAGTGGCAGGCACCGCTGCTCACAGGGGAAAGTCCACTGGACAGGAGCAGAGTACCTGCTGCCCTGCCTGCCACGGGCTCCAGCCTGGGCCTCCAGGGCTGTCAGACTGTGACCCACATGCTGGTGACCGTTCTGTTCCTTACGTGCCGATCCCCCAGCTCGCACGCCTCCCGACACTGACCGTCATCCCTCGCCTTGTCCCCCACAGGACGTGAGCGACCGGATAGAGAAGGAGCCGCTGGACGGCCCGATAGTGAAGCAGCTGGAGCGCGGCGGCAGAGCCGTGGTGAAGCTGGACTGGCGCGAGAACATCACCGTCCCCCTCCAGACAGGTGACCACGCTAAAGCCCAGGAGAGGAAACGTTTCAGAAGCATCAGCCATTTCTAGGAAGCAAACACAGAAACAGCAGCTCCAGGCTGTTCAGGCTCCAAATACCACTAGCTGGGTTTGAGGCTTCCTTGGGTGTGTCCTCTGGTTTGTTACGCTGATGTGTTTCATTTTTGTTCCTCAGAGCAACATTAATGTCATGCTCCCGGTCGCCCTTTCTGATCTGGGTGTGGTCACCGCAGCAGAGTTCAGACTGACACACCCTCAGGTTCCATGGGGGCAGCTGCCCTGTGACCCTGAGCATGGGGTCATGTCTACTTGCTTAATCCCTGGGACCCTAGGAATCATTTTATTTTAAAATGTGTTTATTTGAGCTGAGCACAGTGGCGCACTCCCGCAGTCTCAGCTGCTCAGCAGGCCAAAGCAGGAGGGTCACTTGAGCCCAGGAGTTCAAGGCTGCAGTGAGCTGTGATCACACCTAGGAAGAGCCTCCACACCCAGCCTGGGCAGCACAGCGAGAACCCCATCTTGTAGAAAAAAAAAATTGTTGGTCACTTGCTTAATCGTTGCGTCCCTTAATGTTTTTCTAGATCTGCGTAAATTCAGAACCTACAAGGGCGGCTCTGTCAGAGACCTCCTCCGCGCCATGAGAAATAAGGTAAAGGGTTTGTGAATACTAGAGAGGGAGACCCCATGGCCACAGCATGGACACGCGCCCCTTTCCTCCATTGTTTACGGAGCCTTTTATCCGTCCTGGAGTTCTGACCTCTCAGAGACTCGGTGGCCCGAGGTGGACTGGACAGATTAGAAGCTGTTTCTTCCCTGACGTGGGTTTCCTCTTCAGGGACGTTGAGGTGCAGAGCTGAGCTCTGAGGCAGCCTCTCTGGAGCCCGTGTCCTTCGTGGTCTCCTTGCTGACTTGTGGTGTCCTCTCCCTGCCTGGTACAGCCGCTGTGCAAACACGCCTCTAACGGGGACCGTCAGGACACCTTCCCACACAGGGCCTGGTCTCCAGGGGCTCAGGGCAGGGGGCACCACTTTTTCCCTGGGGGACTGGGGTGCTCTTACCCCGTGCTGTCCCCAAGCAGCCTTCACACAGGGCCTGCCCCCAGGCACAGAGGAGGCCCCAGGCCCGTTGGGACAGACGCTTCAATTCCAGGCGAGTTTATTCCGCTTGAGGTTGCCGGGAATCTCCCAGGGCCTGACCATCCCCTGCTGGCCCGGCCACACCAGGAGTGAAGCCACCTCCTGCTCTCCCAGGCTTTGAGGCTCTTCTTAGATGACGGGACGCAGGCGAGATGATGGCGTAGATTGCCGTAGAAGCCTTTTTTCCCTTTTCTTTACGGAAACCCATCTGACACTGACATCCTGTCTGCCTTGAATGACAAAACGATGTTTTGCCAGCGTTTCCCAAGCTTTCTAACCCCTGCCCCTCTGTCTGCAGAAGCACCACTACCGGGAGCTCCCCGAGGAGGTGCGGGAGACGCTGGGCTCCCTGCCGGACGACTTCGTGTGCTACTTCACGTCGCGCTTCCCCCACCTCCTCTTGCACACCTACCGCGCCATGGAGCTGTGCGGCCACGAGAGACTCTTCCAGCCCTACTACTCCCACGAGCCCCCGGAGCCCCAGCCCCCCGTGACACCAGACGCCCACTGAGCCAGGGTGGCCCCAGCTGTGACTGAGGGCCTGGTCACCACAGTCCAGAGCTTGGCTCCTCCCGGCTTCACAGGGAGACCAGGCTTCCCAAACCAAGTGCCTTGAGCCGCCCACTCTGCAGCCAGCAGAGGATCACGCTGACCCCAGGAGGAGGGAGAGGCGGCCCCTCGTGCCCTGCAGGGAGCTGGGAAGGTGTCGCCCTGGAAGCCTCACAGTCAGGCGCCTGCCAAGGAAGGTCCCAGAGACAGCGAGAGGAGCACCCGCCGACCTTCTCCTGGATGAACTTGCTTCAGAATTAACATTTCTTTTTAAAATTCCTGCTTGATGTCAGTCAGTGGGCCTTTCGGGAAGGGAGAGGAGGGAATCCTAAGTTCTGCCTGCATGCTCAGACCAGCCGGGCAGGGATGCATGAGTGCAGCCTCTGTTAGAAGCAGGACTCGGGAGGCGAGGGGTGCGGGAAGGAGAACGGTGTTCCAAGGGTGTGGTCCTGGGGTAGGAGGTGCCTCAGTGATCACAGATGCGCCCGAGGTAGCCCAGGTTACTGGTAACCAGTGTTTCCGCAGAGGCAGCGAGAGCCGTGAGCTTGGGATGTGACGTCAGGGACAGGTCAGCAGTGCACGCTGCAGGGAGGTCATGTCGGCAGGGCTCTCAGGAACGAACAGCATACTCTGCGCTGGAGGCAGTAGTGGCCCGGCCTGCTGGTGGCCTCAACAGTGGCCTTTTCATTGTCCTGGGCCAGTTGAGGGTGTTCAGGAACATTTGGGGCAAGAAGTGCAGCATTCCCTGGCCATCGAGGAAGGCAGCTAAGACCCAGACAGGGACAGGCCTTCGAGACCAGGGGGCGCAGCCGAGCGGGACCCTCCAGCTGCCTGGAGAAAGCCCTGAGCCAGATGTGGGTGCCGAGGCTCCTCTGTCCCTTAGGCCAGCAGGAGACACGTGGTCAGTCAGGCCAGGGGACGGGAAGCCAAGGCCAAGGTCACTGTGTGCTTCATGGGCCAGCTTTTTGTTTTTCTTGGCAGAATTTAATAACTACATTTTGATCATACTGTAGAATGCTACATTAGCATAAGTAAGCTATACTTGAAGCTTACTCGTGAAGAAGAAATGCAAGATACAGTACATCTTCTATCTTGTGTGGTACCAAAAATCGCCATCCCCTCAAAAAAGTGTTCATATTTAGAACATTCTCTAATATTGAAGAGTAAAACATTATAGCAACACTATATAAATGTATTAAACAATGTCAGAGTAATAATCTCTAAATTATGTCAGTACCATGTTATTTTTTTCCCTAAAATTAATATAATTTTTAACATTAGTTTGAGTAAAAAATTCCTGTCTTTTCTCTCCCAAGAGCCTTAGAGGTTAAAATGCAATCAGGGTACCACGTAAGGAAACGCTGTCTGCGTCCCTCCTCCCGCCGGGCGGAGGGGTCATTGCAGCTTGGTCCTGCCGCAAACTCAGAGACTCCATTCAGTATTAAGAATGGAATTGTCAGATTTTACTCACTGACAGAGAAATCGCTGTTTCTCCTTCTTGTAAGATGTTTTCTGGCTGTGTTTGTGTCAGAGCTACTCAGCAAAAGCTCTTTCTCTGCCTTTGCAGAATTCAGTCCTCTTCCTTTCATAACGGCTGAAGTGGTTTTTTTCCTTAATATTCACGGGACCCTACATCCTTAAACCTCATCGGTTACCTCATTTAGCCTTGGCACCTCGGCCCCCCAGGTCGGCATCCGTGGCGTCCTCCTGCGGGCCGTCCGTTTCTCAGGAACACGCCAGACCGTGTTTTCTCCTCTGGTTCTGCGCCAGGGCCTGCCTGAGACCGCGCTGTCCACGCGCGGCAGGGAGCTTTGCCGCAGCCTGGGTGGCAGTAGCCCGGGAGAGAATCCGAAGGCGGAGAAGGTGCCCGGAGTGATTTAACAGGACTGCCTTGGGGACTGCCCCTCACCTTGGGGGTACCCAGGTGATTTCTAGCAGCCCAATTTTGTGTCATTTTAGCCCAACTTGCCTTGAGACAATTTTTTCAGATGCCCTTTATTCGAGCACTTACTCTTTGCAGCTGGGCAGGAACCCAGTTACTCGTCAGTCCCCCAGGTGGTTTGTCGGAAGGGGTCTCACAGAGGCACCCTCTGGCGTAGCTGGTCCTGGCTCTAGATCTCCAGTTTCCGCGGTGCTCAGCGGGTTGTCGTGTGGGTTCAGGCGGGGACAGCTCTGCAGCATTGCGCGTGGTGTTGCAGCTGAGCTGTTCGATTCTGCGATTCCTGGAGGGCTGTTTGACTTTTTAGAAGTACTGTACACTGTCTTCATCTTTAAGCGGAACTTTGTCCCATCTGTTAGGAATCCAAAGGATGCTCTAATTTATTTAAATCGTGTCTTGAAGCTGCCACTGAACCTCTCTCTGGCACATGTGCCAGAATTTCTCTCACTGCTTCTTGAGTCTTTTGAATATTAGTTTTTGAAGGGCTCTGTGTGTCATTAGGCACCAAGGCATTGGCACTTTGGGGAGCATTGGTATCACTTGGTAAATCCTCCAGCCATCCAGTGGCTGAAATACACAATCCTGGGTGCAAATATGTCCCCTCCCTCCCTCCCTGCTTGCTGTCATTGCAAGAGTTGCCAGAGGTTTTTTTCCAATGAGATGTCACTCTGGGTAGATGTTGTTTTGGAAGATCTGCAGGTTAGTGGATCCAGCAAAATATTCCCACCAATTCTAGGAGAAAGGTCCTTATCAGAGTTGACCCTGATCCTTTGGTAAGGTTTTGTGTGATTCCGTCATCGTTGGCGATTCTTTCTTGCTGCAGTAAAAGATTCACTGGCTGCTGATCTAACCTCTCTACAGACACGGGGGCTTTGGGTTGTAGGACTTTGTCCTTTTGGCTCCTTTCTGTTTGGAAGTTGGACTTTGGCCAGGTTTGGTTCTCCCAAGACTGTCCCATTCTCCATCTGATCGTTGGGTCCTCAGTGGTCTGTTCGTTGGACCCTCAGCCTGGGAAGGTGGCTGGCGCTGCTGGCGCAGACTCTGTGCTGGGGGAGAAAACTCGGCCTCTCAAGTCTCCTCTCAGCTTCCTCTCGCCACTGCTTTGGCTTCTGAAATTGCTTTCCTTTCTGTCTCCCACCATGGCTTTCCTCGCCCTTTCCTTTGCCATCCTGGTGTAGTCGTTCCAGTTGACTGTGACCTGGCACTGGCTTCTGGAAGAAGGTCCTCAGCTCTCTTGTCAGGGTGGGGCAGAAATTCTGCCTTCCCAGGTTGGGCCGTTAATCTTACACCAAAGTGTCTACTGTCGTCTCTGCTTTTTCTTTATGAAACAGCGATTTCTCCTGAGTAACTCTGCTCTGACTTGTGAATTGGCACTTAAGTCCTTTCTGTATCCAGTGGAAAACCGCAAAGATCGCCTCTGCAATGAGCTCCGCCCTGTTGCAGCCTTAACCGACACTTTCAGCCAAAGCCCCCACCGCTCGCCCCTCCGCGTGCTCTGCGACTGGCGGATACAGTATTCCTTTTCAGTGTCCCTGAAGCTGTGACGGGGAGTCCCCACTTACCTAGAAAGCATTACCAGTCAACTACGTGGCATTCTCAGATGCAAACCTTGTGTAGTGTTCTTTTTGCAATGACCTATTTATTTAACCTATTTATATTTATTTAATTTTTACTCTGAGGTGTATCCCATGACGATTGCACTTGCTTAAAGCACATCAGATTTGTTTTGGACAACACCCCTGACCATTTTAAAACTGGAAAAGGAAAAGTTATACTGTATCCTTCTGTGGGATGGACGCTTTACCGTAGTCTTGTCTTTCAAGGGTGAATAATTTGGTCGCGGTAAAACGTTAATTTTTAGGTGATTTTTTAAAAAAATATTCTGTGCCATTGTGTCTTCTCTGTGGATGGTTAATTGTCTAATTGGTCTGTGTTAATCGTATGATACAATCCTCTTTGTGGAACCCCAAATCCTCTTTTTAGCTTTATATTTTATAAACTGCCAGATTGTACAACTTTTATGTGTATTTTTAAAGCTTGATGTGAGGGTCATTATCTAAGTTAAACGGCCTATTTTTGTACCTCCTGTATAGTTTTATAATTCTGCTGATTGATGGCATCTTATGTTGAGCCAACCACAATAAAGGTAGTTTTAGATTTGGAAGTCAGTTTCTCAAAGACGTGAACACACTCCCAGGTGAGGGGGTGTCTTGCCTCTTCCTGGGTGGGCGGGGCCTGGATGGCGAGGCCTGGGCAGCGGCTCTGCCGGTGGGAGGAGAGGTGTCCTAGTGTCCACGGCAGGGTCCAGGGGCTGGGACATCCTCCTTGGCAGCTGTTTGTGGGAAAAGCTCCTTTGAAACATCGCAGGGGGCCGGGCGCGGTGGCTCACGCCTGTAATCCTGGCTCTCTAGGAGGCCGAGGTGGGCGAATTGTCTGAGCTCAGGAGTTCCAGACCAGCCTGAGCAAGAGCGAGACCCGGCCTCTACTAAAATTAGAAAGAAATTAATCGGCCAACTAAAAATATATAGAAAAAATTAGCCAGGCATGGTGGCACATGCCTGTAGTCCCAGCTACTCGGGAGGCTAAGGCAGGAGGATCACTTGAGCCCAGGAGTTTGAGGTTGCTGTGAGCTAGGCTGACGCCATGGCACTCACTCTAGCCAGGGCAACAGAGTGAGACTCTGTCTCAAAAAAAAAAAAAAGAAACATCACAGGAAGTTCCTGAGAGTATCGATTTGGGCTGAATTCCAGGAAGGTGGTCAGCTGGGACAGACATGCCACAAGGTGAGAATTAGGTTCCAGAGTGAGTTTGGAACACGTGAACAATAAACAGGATAGTGGACCAAGAAACCCAGAAGGTGAGAAAAAGCACAAGGTAGCTTGGCCAGCGAAATGCAGGGAGGGCCCCACCAGAGCAGTCAGCAGCTCAGGGATGAGCCCAGTGACGTCTGCCTGGAAGTAGGACCCTCCCACACGCCACTCCCTGCCTTCCGGACCCTCCCTGGAGCAGTGAGGCGAGGCTCCTCTTACCCCTGCACCCAGGCGCCCAGGACGGGGCTGCTCACGAGGGGGGGCCCAGGGGCCCACCAGCCCCGGGACAGCTCAGCAGGACTGTGTCGAGGCCGGCCTCCTTCCCTCCGAGCTCTGCCTGCTGCCATTCTGCCCGCCTCATGCCTCGGGGCACCAGGAGTGACACTGAGACCTCTGGACACACCTCCCTCTGGAGCATGAGATCTTGGACACAGCCAAGTCCGGGGGCAAATGAGGGGCTGCAGGATGTTGTTGGCCATCTCACTTCACATGCAGTGGAGTCAGCTCTTGGAGTCCCCTCAGGGCCATTAGCCAGGGCTGGCACCGAGTCTTGAAATGGCCCAGGCCTGGGAGGGGGACAGCGGATGGCACCCTTAGCTGCCTCTGAGAGCGAGGGGAAGTGTGGGTGCTGAGGAGGGAGCCCAGCGTGTGGGGCAGACGCCTTCCCCTGCCCCATGCTGGCCCAACCCGCTAGGGTCCTGGGGCCTGGGGACAGTTATCAAAAGATGGGCCACTGATGTGGGCTTTGTGGCTTTGCACGCCGAGTCAGCGCTGGGCTGCTTTTTCTCTGAATGTTGGATACATTGATTTCGTTATACGTAGCCACATACATGTGCACAGGTACACACTCACGCTCCATCAGCAAATGTCCCCATTTGCGCTCCCTCTGTATCTTCACCACGTGCCGTCTGTGCTAGACCACGTGTTAGCTTGGAGAGATCGTGACAGTTACCCTGCCTGTCTGCCCTTCCCCCGCGGGCCAGGTGCATGCTGGGCCAGCCTGTGCCTTGACCATGGCTTGGCCTCACTCGTCGCTCCCTCAGAGATCACCTCCCTCACGTCTGGAAACATCTAACATCTTTCACTTCAGCGAGAGACTGACCAGACCCTTTCTTTGCCAAGGCCCAGAATCAGACCGTGAGCTGGACCATCTCTGGCCAGTGGCTGTGGGCCGAGGGGCAGGGCAGCCCCGGGAGGCCACGCTGGAAGACGGTGGGGGTGGGGGAAGGGCCAGCAGGGAGTGAGCCAGTGACCTTGGCCTCCAGGAGGTTTGGCAGCGAGTCCAGGAGTGGTGACTGTCAGGTCCCCTCTTGCCTGTCATCCCTGTGCCTCTTCAAAGCCACCTCTCCCTTCCCAGCCGGCTCCATGATTTGGGTGAAGCCACAGAAATGCTCTCAGAGTTTGCAGGTGACACAGAGCTGCAAAGAGTAATCACCACCAGGATCATGACCCAAAGAAGATTCTAGATTACAAGAAACTGGAATGCTGAGCCAAGGGTCATGGGAAGTCCTGCTGTCACATATCAGGCGTGAACCTTTACACGCCTAACAACATGGCTTCAAAATAAATAAAGCAAAAACCGAACTACAAGGAAAAATAGTCAACAGTGAACATTTTAACCGTCTTTCTCAGGCTCTGATAGATCAGATAGAACCCTCCCCCGCAAATTTAAAATAGGGAAGATGTGTACAGCACAGTTGAGCAAGACCGGTCAAATCAATGGTGAAACCTCTTCACAACCAAGGAGGGGGGTCCAGAAACACACAGTGGGAAACGCCGAGCTGGGAGCCTGCAGAACGGGGTTCCCGGTCAGCCCAGGCCAGCTATGTTGGTGCCACCTGGTGGCAGTTGTCTGCTCCAGACTAAATAACTTTCTTATCTTTACAGGGTGGAATTGTTTTTATCTTCTTCGTGCTTTTCAGCATATTCCAAATGGTCTTTCATGAGCATGAACTCTGTTAATAAGAGGAAAAAAGTCACATCATTTTTCTAAGCCCTACCCTTCTTATCTATAAAATGAGGGAGGTGGCTTGCATGAGCCCTAAGATTCTTCCAGACTACAAAGGCCTACGACTCGGCACCCCCAGAGCCTCTCAGCTATGACATTGGCTGCTCTTCCTGTCACAGCTGATAGCTGCATCTTTTCTGGGGTCCTCCTACGTGTGGCCTGAGCTGAACCACCCTCTGCTCTGGGCCTGTCATAGCTTTCCAAGCCTTTCCCATCTCAGGAAAGTGTCCCCCAACATTGTTCCCTCTCTGTCGGCCTCAGGTCTAACTCATCCCTACTTTAACAGAGCAAATTCCTCTGTCTCTGTACTCGTTTCCCCCCTAAAGACTCCGATCCATCAGTTGATTCATTAAGGGCAATTTCCCAAAGCTTATGTCTCAGAATATTGGTTCCAAGGGCTATCAAACTTAGAAAAAAGGGTTCAATGATTAAATAAAATTGGGAAATGCTGTAATTAAAGGTCCCTTTTGGTTTTTTTTTTTTTTGAGGCAGAGTCTCTCTCTGTCACCTGGGCTAGGGGGCAAAGTTGTCAGTCATCATAGCTCACTGCAACCTCAAACTCCTGGGCTCCAGCAATTCTCCTGCCTCAGCCTTCTGAGTAGTGGCTAGGACTATAGGCACATGCCATCGTACCCTGCTAATTTTTTTATTTTTGTAGATTCAGGGTTTCACTGTGTTGCCCAGGCTGGTCTCGAACTCCTAAGCTCAAGAGATACTCCCGCCTCGGCCTTCCAGAGTGCTAGGACAACAGGCGTGAGCCACTGGGCCCAACCAAAGGTCCCGTATTTACTGCAAGACTTTTCAGAGGCCTTTAATATGCCAACAGGATATCCTCCAATTACCTCCAATTATTGCCTTGGCTTTTTTTTTTTTTTTTTTTTTGAGACAGAGTCTCACTCTTTTGCCTGGGCTAGAGTGAGTGCCATGGCGTCAGTCTAACTCACAGCAACCTCACACTCCTGGGCTCAAGCGATCCTACTGCCTCAGCCTCCCGAGTAGCTGGGACTACAGGCATGCGCCACCATGCCCAGCTAATTTCTCTATATATTTTTAGTTGTCCAATTAATTTCTTTGTATTTTTAGTAGAGACGGGGTCTCGCTGTTGCTCAGGCTGGTTTCGAACTCCGGAGCTCAAACAATCCGCCCGCCTCAGCCTCCCAGAGAGCTAGGATTAGAGGTGTGAGCCAGCGCGCCCGGCCTGCCTTGGCTTTTAAAAAGAAAAAAGGAAGGATTTTGGAGTGGCAGATATAATGCTGTATGTTCACCAAATCTTACTTCATTTCCTCTTTCTGGGTACCCAGGAAGACATTCCCAGACTCCACTGCAATTAGGTGGGGCCCATGTGACTAATTCTGGCCAATGGGAGTGGAGGTGACGTGTGACTTCTGAGCCAAAGCTGGGGCACAACTCCCAGCGCTCCCTTCCTGCCACACGGTGCTTGGTGATCGGCAATCGTGGAGGCCACACATTGAGATGACACAAAATGGAAGCAACCTGAATCGTGGCGTCAAAACATAGACAGCAGCTGACCTGGAAAGCCACCTGACTCCGGAGGGGCTTCTGTGAGTAAAGAACTCTTGTGTTAAGCCTTTGAGATGTCTGGGTTAATTCCACAGCATAGCTGAGCCCATCCTGAGTAGTACATTACATACAAAGAGTGACAGGCAAAGGCTATGACACTGCAGACTCTAGGTGACAGGCAAGGTAGAACGTTTGTCCCATTAGTGAGCCAAACAGTGCTCTCAGAGGATGGAGGAGGCGAAGAAGAGAGATTCTCTACCTGCTGCTCTTTCAAACCGCCTCCCCCAGCCCCGCTGCCGTCTCCATCGCTTAACCCCCTGCTTGGCCTCGATGGCTTCCCGGACCTGTAACTGGACGTGCTCCGCGACCACCTGACGACATGGGCTGAACCCGAAAGGGAAAGTGGAAGCGGGCAGGGAAGTAAGTGCATCCCCCTCCCCCCGCTGTCTTGCCTTGGCACCGCAGGGTCTGTGGGGCTTGCGGTGGTCTTTTCCCAGTGGTTGGGCTATCCTGGTTGGGAGGGAGGGGTGGCGGCGGAGGTGGAGAGGGAGACTCCCACGTCCACACCACTACCCTCACGACAAATGCACAAATTCAGGGAGGGCGAAGAGGGGTCTCAGGGTGCAAAGGTGGGTAATTCACACCACGCCCCACGGAGCGCGGAGCTGAGGATCGACTTGGATTCTGGGAGGCTCCCAAGCCCACCTCCTTTCCCTGGGGCTGCAGAGGGAAGAAACTGGGGGATGTACGAAGGATGATGATGAAAAGAAAATTCACAACCACAGCTACTGCTCAGCAGACCTGCCCGTCCCCTCCCAACAGGCG